CTAGTATACAGCTCTTTCTCTTTTCCACAAGAACAGCATGAGATACATTATCAAATTTTTTGCTATTTCCCTGGTCTACCAATTTAACATCATTGAAGAAAAAGTTAATATTGTACTGTGTTGCAGGCCTACAAAATAGTTATAAAAATAATTTTAAATTATTCTAAATTCAAACATTGTTCTTGTCAGAAATACCCAAACTGACAGCTCCTTCATGCCCTCAGGCATATAAGTTGCTTTGAAGTCCCAATTTATGTAACTCTTGAACAAGCAATATTTCAGTCAAGATTAAGCAATGGCTTATGGTTTAGGTAACAGTTTCCTTCATTCAATGAAATAATTTGATTAAATTTCAGCACACTCCTGGAGAATCATTTTCCTGAGACCACTGAATTCCTCTTTGACCACTCTATTCAAAGATTCTCTTTTCTAGCTGGTTAATACTGACCTAACTTCCATTTTAACAGTATTAACTCAAAGAAAGTTTTTACTTCTAGTCATTATCTTAATCCCTAGAGCAGGAGTATAAAGGATATTGCTCTTATGTTGATCAATAAAGGCCTCCTCACCCTTAACTGTGGACACCCTAATTACTTCAGGGAGGAGTCCTTCCTAAGCTGATTGGAGAGAAAGGAGCAGAATATCGTTTTGAAATTGATAGTGTAACATATGAAAATTCCAAGAGACAAAGTTCCGGATATGAAAAATCAATTTATTAATTGGGCTAACAATCAATAAATAAGGTCAGTGGCCTCTCTCAGTAACCAAAGATGAAAAGGGAGTCTCTGGGCCACCTTAAATCCCATGTTTTCCTTTTGACAGAGACCTCCCCTAACAAGAGACAAGCAACCCTGATTAGTAGATATTTAATGAAGAGGTAGGCTAAGAATTATCTATTCCTTCTGCTGAGAACATGGCCTGGTCGTGAGATTCAGCAGCCTCTAGCAATCTGGGCAAGGGAAGCCATCCTGATCAGGATCTCTCTGGCTAGGTTTCTCCTGGCCAGGTCACCCCAAATTCTGATGAAGGGAACAAGGACGCACAAGTAGCTCTTGGTAGCATAGACTAGATCTGTTTGGTTTCTGTTTAGAGGGTTAAGAGAAAAGTCGACTCCAAGCCTTGGGAGAGGCAGGAATATAGTGACATTCCTTTGCTAGAAGAGGCTGAGTGAGTTTTCTCTGTAAGCTAGTATAAGAGATGGCTTTTTGAATGTTACATATTATTATTAATAATAAAATAATACAGCATTAAAATTAATTTTCCTCAACCATTAATGACTGATACACACACACACATCTAAGTAATTTGCTGATTATCACTTGTCCTTGTGGGCACAGGAAATAAGGGGCAAAAAGGAGAAAAGGGGTGAAAGTGGAGGAATGGGGAGAAGGCAAATTTTCCCCAGTTCACTGGCCTCATTCAATTTTTCTATTACAACCTTCTGCCTCAACACCCCTCACCCCCCAAAATATACCCTTTTCTTCTTGTTACTACAACAAAGTCTGGTAGGATTCTAAGAGGACTCTGAAGTTTTTTGTGCATGCCCAAGATTGAATGAAAGGGGGAAAAAATCAGTTCTGGGGAGGGAAGGGAAAGATTTCTAAAAACTTTCAGACCCTCACCTCATACAACTCTCCTCTCTTGCAGGTAGACGATGTACTTTACAGTGGAATGAGAGGTTATCTGTCATGAACATGTCAATCACTGGTGAGCCCCAGAGGCTCTCACAGGGCCCTTTCTTCTCTTTTATGTCCCTTTTATATTGTTTTTAACAGCTCCCAGTGTTTTAACCATCATCTATAGGAAGGTAAATCTCAAACATATATCCAACATGAATCTGGAATCCAATCCAACTGTCTGCTAGAATTTTCTCCTTGAAGTACAGTTGTTGTAGTTGCTTTTCAGTCATATCTGACTCTTCATGACCCCATTTGGGGTTTTCTTGGCAAAGATATGGGAGTGGTTTGCCATTTCCTTTTCCAGCTCATTTTACAGATGAGGAAACTAAGGCAGATAGGATTAAGTGACTTGTCCAGGGTCACACATTTAGTTAAGTGTCTGCGGCTAGATTTGAACTCAGGAAAATGAGTTTTTCTAATTCCAGGCCTGGTGCTCTATCCACTGGGTCATCTAGCTGCCCTGAAGTACCTTAAGCATGTTTTATTCAATACATTCCAAACAGAACTCATTATCTTCCCCTACCTCTTCTATTCAACCCTCCACCAAAAATTCCTTATTTCTAGCGAAGGTATCACCATCTTTCCAGTCAGGCAGATTTGCAACATTGCTGTCATCTTTAACTCTTTCTTCTCCCTTATTTCCAAAGCACTCTTTCTAGGTTAATCCACATCATATTCATAGGTAGGGTTGATGGGGTGCTTGGGTGCTTGTACTTGTACCTGGACCCGAATTTCTCCCTAGTCTCAGAAACACTGTCTCTGACCATCACTCCCCACTCCAAGGACATTGTGCCTAGCAATTACTCATGCGTGAGCCCCAGCAACACCCTTATCTCTCTCCCTGGTGCAGCTACACAAAGCTGGGTGAGAGAGTGCTGGGCTACTCAGGCCCCAGCCCTCAGATCATGTCTCTGGAAGCATCCCAATTCCTTAGTAAGTTCCTGTCTTGTGATAAAGCTTTCCCTTGTGGAAGAGCATTCTCTCATCAAGACAGAGAGAGAGGGGTGCCTTGTCCAGCCCAAGGAGTTTTGTCCTTAGCTGGCCCAAGGACTCTTCCTCCTTCCAGACTCCCAAGATCCATACTTCTGTCATCTCCCTCCTTGTCTGGTATACTCCCTGTACTTTCCCATCCATAGCTCCCAAAGACACCTGGACTTTTGGATAACCTAATCAGTACCCCTGGCATTCCTGTCCCATGCCCTTTTCCATGTAAACCCTAGCTTCATCCTCAGTCTCTTGCAGGTTCCTTAAGAATCCTTGCCGGCTGAAAAGCGTAACAATGAATCTTTACCACCTTGACTTAAAGAATGCTTGAGTCTGTAAATTCACTTCAGACGACCCAGTCCTATACTCCAGTCTTTGAGAGGTCTCAACCTCTCAGACTGCAACAGGGTCACTAGGGTAACAACTAACTCAGATTCCCTGTGGGTCTACACCCCAAAAACGAACTCACAAGGCCCACTGATGTTTATTTTTTTTTATTAGTCAACTAGAAGACATTAATTAGCTCAAAGCAAAGGTATGTATTGGAATATCATAATGACAAAACATCATTCCAATTAACCTAGGACACACTCTTCTACACAGGAGGAAGAGTGAACATAGAAGTTACAAGTTGAGAGAGGCACACTTGTAGAGAACATGCACAGTGAGATGCATGTGAATGGGAACAACTCATACCTCTGATGCTACAAGAGCTGCAGATCTCTTTCCATTGAGCTTGATGAGTTTGGTCTCATAGTCTCCACTAGATTCTGTGCTGCTGCTATTTAGTGCTGGACTATATTCTACTGGATTTTTCCAGATGCTGCATACAGATAGATACTACTTTAGTGCTTCACCACCTCTATCTTCCTGTTTCAGCTACTCTGTACAAGAACTGGACTCCACTTTCCCACATCCCACTGGAATCAGGATAAATTTTGCCTCTGGGGCCTACCATCCCCTGAAGAGGATCCGAACTCAGTCCATCCTTTACTCAACTGCCAAATTGATTTTCCTAAAGTATAGGTCTGACCAAGCCAGATACCCTTCCCAGTCTCTCATTCAATACAGTTCAGTGGCTCCCTATTACCTCCAAAAGCTAATATAAAATCCTCTGTTTGGCTTTTAACACTCTTCATAATCTACCTTTTTAAATACCTTATTCCCGGTCACATATTCTATGATCTAATGACACTGGCCACCTTGCTGTTCCTCCCACAAACAACTCATCTCCCAACTGAAGGCATTTTTACTGGTTTTTCCCCATGCCAGAAAAGTTCTCCTTCCTTATCTCTACCCCCTGGTTTCCCTAGATGGCCTCAAATTCCAGTTAAAATCCTACCTTTTACAGAAAAGTTTTCCTGACCTCCCTTAATTTTAATGCCTTTCTTCTAAGCCTACTCTCACTTTATCCTGTATACATCCTTTGTAGATAGTTTTTCGAGAGCCGGGACTGTTTTTTGCCTTCTTTTTATTCCCAGGGTTCAGCACAGTACCTGGCACATAATAGCTGCTTAATAGACACTCTCTATGTCCACAGAAACCCTGAGTATCTAATTAAGTGGATACTCCATGCCCACTCTTGTGCAGTTATCAATCAGAAACAATTTATTAAGTACCTACTCTGGGCTAGGCACTATGCTAAACTTTATGGATAGAAAGAGAGGTTTATTTTTCATTTTATCTTTGGTGTCCTGAGCTATTACTACAAGGCTTCACACTGCATAGATGCTCGTATTTTTCTCTTGTTCGTTTTTAAAATTAAAACAAAATTAATTTTCTCTCCTTCCCAGCTCCCGATTCTCCTCCAAATGAAAAGAAAAACATAACCTCAAACCAGGATTCTGAACTTTTTTTTTTAATTGTCCTGGACCTTTTATCAGTCTGGGGAGGAGGTCTAACGAGCCCTTCTTAGAATAACATTTTTAAATGAATAAAATACATAAGATTACAAAGGAAAACAATTATGTTAAAATGTAGTCATAAAATGTTTTCTTAAAAACCAAGTTCACGGACTCCAGCTTAAGAACTCGGCCTCAAACGTTTAAGAAGGTGTGGATGTGACTAAAAGACTCCAGTCCACCTTCCAGTTGCGTCGCCTTTTCCTTGTAGACATGCGCACAAATCTCTCCGGATCTTCGACTGCATTTCCGGAAATACTGAGCCAAGGCTCCTCTTCCGTCAGAATAAGACAGGACTCTTAGTCGCGGTTGCCAAGGAAACGTTGATTGATGCTAAACAGAAGCAAGACGCACCAAAACCCTCGGTCTAGAAGTGGGGGCGGAGTTGAAGGAGAAGGGCGGGAAGAGCTGAGAGGACTGGTCTCTGACGTCACTTCCGGCCCCTCTTCGCTTGCGCTCTCATGGCGTGGCTACTTCCACTTCCTTTTTGTCTCTTCTTTCCTTCCTGTAGTGGCACGGGGAGCTAGGGCTCCTCCGGCCTTTGGGCCTCCCTCCGACCCAACGTCGCCCGCGGCCTGTCCCTGCTCCTGCCGCTGCTGGCGAGCCGAGCTGCCCCCGGGGATCGGGGGTGTGCGCTGAGCGGAGCCGGCTGCCAGGCCCTGCCTCGGGGGTCTTTGTGAGCGCGGGGCCGGGCGATTCTCTCGGCAGGTGCCTGGTCGGGCCCTTTCCTGGGCTGGCCGCCCCCCGCCGGCCCTTGAGCCCCTCTCGCTGCTCCGCGTCTGCGGGGAAGGAGAGCTGGGCGCAGCCGTGTGTCCTGCTACCCCTGAGCACCCGCCTGCCACGTCGTGGTCAGGCTCGCCGCGGTCCCCCACGGCGGGTTTGGGGCTGGAGCTGCAAGTGCTCCTCGTGTGCCCGGTCCTTGAACCCCCCGGGGTCTGGGTGGTTCGTGAGCTCTGTCTGCGGGGGGAAGTGGGGCGGGAGGGCTTGTTCTGCCTATGGTCTGGAAGGGGCAAGATAGACTAATGCCTGTCTTGGGTCGTTTTTCTTTGCCAGTTCTGCCTTCTGAGCCCTCTGTCCTTCTCCAAGAGGGTGGGAATGGCCCCTGTGTTCCTGACAGCGCCAGGCTGCAAAGTGAGTTCAGTTTGTTCTTTCTGGGAATTATACTTGAGTCCTCAAGGGAAGGTTTAAATTCCCAAATGAGTCATTTCAAAGTTTTAAGTACTCTGTACGTTTAGAGAAGGAGGATAAGATAGGGTCTCTAGCTATGCATCTCAATTTTTTTCCTTCATAGCAGTCTTGTCTCATTGAGCTGACAGAGGAATCTGCAGTACACAATAAAATAAAATACAAAAGGAAACGTAGAGGAAAAAGTTTCGAAAAGACTTAACTGGCCACTCTTTCTAGGGTGTAACAAGGGGGAAAAAAGTAATCAAGACAGTTGTTGTAATACAAATTTAAGTGTTTGGATTAAATTTTTTGTTAAATTTTAACATTGTGAGAATGGCTATTTATGGGATTATGCAGTGATAAGCTACAATCTGTCTTAGAATTAAATTGGGAGGCGCTGTGGTGAAGTGGATGGAGTGTTGACATGGATCCAGGAAGTTCCAATTCAGCTTCTTAATACTGTGAAGATTTTCAAGTTTTTAACATTTGGCCTCAGTTTTCTCATTTGTAAACCAGGGGAAGTAATACCTACAGTACAAACATTACAGGGTTTTTACCAAGTTCAAATGAGATGATATTAGCAATATAAATGTATGCTATTAATATTAAAGGGTAAAAAGTCATCTACAGGATAGCTTTAGTATTATTGAATTAGGATGAAATGGTGCAAGAAAGAAGAAATGACACGAGAGAATGTTAATAGAAATGATATTTAATAGTTAATGGATTGCTTTGTAGCCTCTCAAGAGTCAGTTATACTTGGAGTGTGATGATGAATATTAGTGTTGTGTACTTAATCATGAGACTGTTATTAAATTATCAATATTTGAAGGAAGTGTATGTTTCACGCGTGCTCACCTACAAAGGTGGGTGTGGTTATGCTATGGGACTTAGCCTTTTTTAGTCCCAATTTTCTCTTTATTTCAGATGACAGTAAATTCTTACATTTGTTTCACAGGATTTTTGTAAAAAAATACTTCATAAGCCTAACTGACGTAGTCTACAGTATAAGCTGTTACAGTTGTTTGTACATGATAAAAAATGTATATAATTGGTACTCACTATACATTTGACTTCAAACCACTCCCTAAAATTCTTTCCAAATTTGCTGTTCCCTGAAGGTCCAAAAGGAATCAGTAACATTTAAGGATGTGACTGTGCATTTTACGCAGGAAGAGTGGGGAAACCTGGACCCTTCTCAGAAGGAGTTGTACAAGGATGTGATGTTAGAGAATTACAAGAACCTTGTCTTCCTAGGTAAGAAGAGCTATCCTCTGTGACTCAGATTGTTTCCATAGTGGAGTCTTTCTTAACACACCTGACTAAATCAGAATTTCCTTTGTGGTAAATATTTGAGAATTAGTGCTTGCTTTTTGGAAACTAGTTTGCTAATTCTCTTGTGGCCATTGATGGAGCAGAAGTTGCTCCTTGATCTCAAGTGAGAGGCCGTAACTGTGTACAGCTGGAAACTGGCTAGTTGTTTGTGTTGCCTCTAAGTTGCGCTTTGCCATTCTCTGTCCTTTCAGGTCAGAGTTTCTCCTCTAGAGTTCCATTACAGGTACCTGAGGACAAGAAAGTTTCATCCTGTTACTGGGAGTGGTTCAAAACTAATATTCTTTGGGATCACTAGACTGTATATCTCAGGAATACAATGCAGTGGATTATTTCAGAGGTCCTCTATACCATCCTTTGGTCATTCTTAGCATGCCTCTTCACCCTAGATAATAAGTTACTGGTGAGAGAATAACAGACTTCTGTCTTCAATGCATTTCTGTTTCTAATGAGCAGGACTTACAGTTTGGAAACCAGATGTGATCTCCCATTTGGAAGAAGGAGAAACACCTTGGATACAGGACTCAGAAGTACTTTGGAGCACCTCTCCAGGTGAGACATTAAAAACCAGGCATAGGAGAGTCATTGTAAGCCATATTTTCACTGGTCTTTCGGGGGATGTGCCAGTGATATGCTGGACTTCCTTAAAGGCCCCTATGTCTCTGGACCAGAGCTGAGGCTATCTGGCATGAGCTGTCAGCAAATCTCTTCATTAACATCTTTCCACTCTTAAGTACCTCCAGTTTGGGGAAAGAGTTTCCTTCAGTCAGAGATGTATTGTTCTCTTCTGTTTTTACTTTGGGTTATCTAAATCCCAACAACCATTCTTTTGCTTTGTTTCTAGTGATGGTTCTTTTTTAAAATATGTGTATTAATTTTAATTTAAAAATAAGGGAAAACATCCTATTTTTCTCTATATTCTCTTTTCATCTTTTTTTCCCTCCATGTTCTCTAGAACTAATGTTCTGTTTTTTATGTAATTGTGATAGTGTATATTCTCATTCTACATTCCCTGCATAGGGTTTCCTGGCTTTGTGTTCTTAAGAAATGACAATGATAATGGTATAATAATTATCCAGTTTTGACTTATCCACAATCTTTTCAGCCATTCCCCAAGCATAGGTCATTTCAGGCTGGATTTTTGTCATCAGAAATAGAACCTCTGAGTATTTGTATAGAGAGATTTTTCAATAATATACACAGGGTTTTTTCAGTACCTATATTTTTCAATAGCATCCTTAGAGTTTACTGTTAATTTGAGACAGTGAGGGGACATAGATCACTGGAATTAGAGTCAGGAAAATCTGAGTTCAAATCTTTTCTCAGTTTAGCCGTGTGATCCCAGGCAAATATCACCTAACCTCTCTGTGCCTTAGTATTGTCATCTATAAAATAAGGAAATTGAACTTAATGGCCTCCAACATTTCTTTGAAATCTAAATCTCTGATGCTATAATCCTATAAACAGTGCGATCACTAGATCAAAAGGCATAACTAGTTTTGTTGCTTTTCCTGTCTCGCTTTTTAAAAGATTATTCAGTAATTATTAAGTAAAGTTTTTTTGCTGTTCTGTAATATTGCAGAGTTGTTTCCATGTACAACTTTCTATACATTAAAGGGTTTGAATAAGTTGGGTGTTGATAATTTTGTTTCTAGAACTGCCTTTTTGTGTGCTTTGACCTTGTATCCATGGGGTAATAAAACCGTCTAAATGGTCTATTCCTTAGATTCTAGATGTCTGGTTTTTAGTAGAAAGGTTCATGGCAAAGATTTTTCCCTGTTCTCTTTCTTTCCTTTTTAGATGTCTAAAACTCAGCATGTCTTAAGAAGTCATCATCTTTCCCCTCAAATCCTCCATTTTTACAGACTTCCTTCCCTAATAGTGTGCCCTTCTACTTGTGCATTCTCCCAGAGTCAGTGTCATTCTTCATTCTTCTCCCAAATTCACTCCATATAACCAGTCTGTTGCCAAATCTTGACATTTCTATTCCAGAAGCATCTCTCATATACTTCCCTTTCTCCCTGCTCACAGAGGCTTATATCACCTCTTGTGTGAATTTTTTCAGTAGACCAACCAGGGTTGGTCTTCCTTTATCAAGGCTTCCCTCACTCCAATCCATCTTCCACTCAGATGTCAAAATATTCTTCTTAAAACTTGAGTGGCTTGCTCTAGGATCAAATATTAAAAAATCTTTTTGACTTTTAAAGCCATTCATAAATTGGTTGTCAGTCTTCTTAAATCTTAAATTACTTTCCCTCCTTCCCCCTATTTACTATGTGATCAGGTACATTGGCCTCCTTGCTGTTTCTGAAGCAAAATATTGCCTGCTCAATAATAAGAGTATTTTCATCGACTGTTGGCAGTGTCTGGAATTCTCTCTCTCATCTCCACCACCTGGCTTCCCTGGCCTCTTTGATGACTCAGCTCAAATCCTACCTTTTGCTAGAGATTTCTCAGTCTTCTCCTTACCCCGTTCTACTGCTAGTGCCTTCTCTATAAGATTACATTTCATTTATATTGTTTGTTTCTTGTATGTACGGTTTTTTGCATTTGTTTCGCCCATTACAATGTGTGTCCTAAAGGACAGGGGCTATGTTTCAGTACATCTAAAAAACATGACATTAAATGCAGTTCCACACCTGTGAGCCTCCCACCTTTGTAAAGAAGTAGGTTTCATTTCATATTTTCTTTGGGTCTAAGCCTTTTCTTCATAATTTTGTTATTGTTGTCCAGTTGTTTTCAGTTGTGTCTCACTTTTCATAACCCCATTTGGGGTTTTCTTGGCAAAGATACTGAGTGGTTTGCCATTTCCTTCTCCAGCTCATTTGACAGGTGAGGAAACTGAGGCAAATAAGGTTAAGTGATTTGTCCAGGGTCACACAGCTAGTAAGTGTCTGAGGCCAGATTTGAACTCAGGAAGTCTTTTTGATTCCAGGCCTGGCCGTGCTATCCACCGTGCTGTCTAGCTTGCACCCTTTTGTAGCATTCATGTAAGTCTTGATGTCTTGTTCTTATTCCACCTGTTTTCCCCTGCTGAATCTCAGGGAGCTAGACCATATAACAAATATTTCCTAAAGACCAAAAAAAAGGACTTTAAAAAAACAGCCAAAGCTGATCAGTATGCCCCCAAAGTCTGAAGATATGTATAAGTACCACACTCATGGACCTCCCACCTCTTCAGAGAGGTTGAGTGGAATATCTCTTCATAAGGAGCTATGTTTGTTCTTTGTAAATTTGCACCATTTACTTCTGAATTTTTTGTGTATATGGTTGTTCTTTACACATTTTTGTTGTAGTCATTATGTATATTGTTTTCTTCGCTTTCTTTACTTCACCCTGTAGATCTTTTTATGCTTCTCTGTATTCATCATTTCTTACATCACAGTAATATTCCATTACATTTGTGTATCACAGTTTGTTTAGCCATTCCCTGATCAGTGGTCATCTTTATCCAATTTTTAGCCATCACAAAAGGTGCTCCTATATTTATATTATCATTATATTATCCGAGGCTGGTTCTTTGTAGTTCTTCACCATTCTCTTCTGGATGTCTTGTGATTGTTATTTTCATAGACTTTGGCAGTGTAGCCATATGTGTTATTACCTTGGCTTTGCTACCTTCAGTCTGCATCACTTCAGGTTAGGTCTTTCCTTGAAGGCTTCCATATATTCATGACTTTTTTTTTTTGGTGAGGCAGTTGGGGTTAAGTGACTTGCCCAGAGTCATACCGCTAGTGTTGTGTGTCTCAGGCTGGATTTGAACTCAGATCCTCCTGACTATAGGGCCAGTGCATTATCCACTGTGCCACCTAGCTGCCCCTATTCATGACTTTTAAAAGGCTTCTCTCCAAAATGAGCCCTCTGATGTCTGATAATGCTTGACCTTTCACTGGGGAGTTTCACACATTTATCATGTTCATGGGATTATGATTTATAAGGCTTCTCTGCAATGTGGAGACTAATTCTTGAGCTATGGGTGGTCTTTCCCACCTTCATTATTTTAATTCTGCTCTGCACAGTAATGAAACCTCTGATGGGCGGTAAAGATTGAGTTGCAATTAAAGGCTTTTCCACACTGATTACATTTAAAACATTTATTGCCATTGTGAACTCTCTAATGTTCATTCAGGTTTGAGTTGTGACTGAAGGCTTTTCCACATTCCTTACATTTCAAAGACATTTCTCCAGTAGGAATCATTTTAAGATTAGTTGCTTTAGTCAGCTATCTCTCCTAGTTTTCCTCTTGCATTTCTCTCTAGCTTTCACATTCCCTGGCATTTTCCAGATTTGAGTATATTTCACGTGTGTCACATATGCAATGCGTATGTACATAATATATATTACATTATATATAAGGCTTCTCTCCATTGTAAATCCTCTTGTATTTAAGAAGATCTGATTTTAAAATGAAGACTTTCCCATATTCAGTGTATCATAGTAACAATAATAATAATAGTTAACAATAGCGCTTACTATGTTCCAAGCACTGTGTGAAGAAGTTTGCAAATATCTCATTTGATTCTCACAACAACCTTGTGAGGTAGGTGCTGTAATTATCCCCATTTTATAGTTGTGGAAACTGAGGCAAACAGAGGTTAAGTGATTTGCCCAGGATCACAGAGCTAGTAAGTGTCTAAGGTCAAATTTGAACTCAGTGCATGTATGAGGATTCTTTTCTTTTCTGTATGAATAATTAGATGGTTAGACTCATATTTTACTGAAAAAATTAGAACCATTCACCTAGCTCTCCTTCTCCTTGTTTCACATCACTCAGATACCTTCCTTCACAGTCTCCCTATATAATCCATCTGTCACATGAAGAGGTGGCCATTTTCCTTGCCAAGGCAAACCCCTCTACCCGTATAAATGATCCCATTCCATCCCATCTTTTCTGGAAGATTGTTTCCTCTTTGATCCCCATTCTCTCATTTGTATTTCCCCTGTCACTGCTGTTCCTCAACTGCCTACACATTTTCCCATGTCATTCTGGCTTCGACCTCATCACTGAACATCAACTATTCTCCACTGTTACTAATGATCTTTGAATTGCCAGATGTCATTCCTTATCCTTCAGTCTTTGAACCTTGTGATCATTCTTTTCTCCTTGATACTCTCTCAAGTTTTTCAAAACTATACTCTCTCCTAGTTCTCTGCCTGCTCTCTGACCATTCTGTCTTAATCTCCTTTGCACACTAAGAGTGGGTCACCCTAGTGCTCTGCCCTAGGCACTTTTTCCCTTCACTTGTTCACTTAGTGATTTTTTCAGCTCCCATGGATTGAATTATCTCTAAGCTGATGATTCTCAGATCTTGATATCCAGCCCTATTCTTGGACATTTTGAACTGGACACCAGAGACATCTTAAAAGTCAATATATCGGTAGCTGTCCTTATCTTTCCCCCTATGCACTCTTCCATACTTTCCTGTTACTATGCAGGAGACATCATCCTCCCAGTCACTTAGGCTCACAAACTAGGTGTCACCCTCAACTACTCATTCTTTAACACTCTGCATATACAATAGCCAAATCGTGTTGGTTCTACCTTTGTAAAA